TGGGGAAGCTGGTCCACGGGGGTCCCACAGGCAGCTTTGGGGGAGCTGAGGACTTGGGGGTGAGGCGATACCCACCATCGCTGTGGCCAATCTGCATCTCAGGCCCCTCAGGCTCCTCATGCAGCCCTGTCTGTGGCCAGTCAGGAACAGGAGTGGCGGCCCAGGCAGCGCCCGGTGGGCGCCGGGTACCAGAGTGAGGTGCCCTTGGCGGCACATGCACGCTGCGGGTGCAGGGCTCTGTTTGGGAGGCCCGAGGGGACAGGACAAGAGCACTCACAGCCCCCCGCACCACGTGATCCCGAGAAACCTCCTGGTTCCACTCGTCAGGAAGAGAACGGAGGGCATCTAGGTTCATGCCACTTCAATGTGGCAAACTCCTGACCAGTGATAAAAAGTTCTCAATATTTCCGCTCCTTCCTGCACAAAGATTCTCGTTGATGCCAACTACGAAAACCGGAAATCGTTCTTCACTAAGAGATCCACAGAATGGAACGTGGCCAAGCTCAGCCCCTCTGTGAAGTCACGGTCACCGGGCAAACTCAAGGCTCCCGTCAGAAACGCTCTCAGGATCCTGACCTTCTGCTCCGAGGACTTCCAGGCCCTATCTCCAACACATCTGCAGGAAAATCTAAGGACGCATCAAAGTAAACACACGTGCCTGCTGTGTGTACACGCATCTGCACATACACACGAGCGTGTCTCCAAGGAACGCACTTCTAACCTAGAACATGGTCACATGTCCTGAGGGAATCAATGGTTAACTGGATACCCCCAAAACTACAAAACAGCTGCAGAGAAAGATCTAAATAGATGGATAATAAATTTAACCATAGAGGTGTGACACCTGTATGCACACAACATTACTGAGAGAAATTATGGGACACATAAGTAAATGGAAAAACATCTAGAGTTCATGGGCTGGAAAACTCAACTGTTTTGGGGTATCAGTTACACCCAACTGATCTGCAGATTCAATGCAATCCCAATCAAAATGCCAATAGGCCTTTTCTGTACAAGTTCATAAGCTGATTCCCAATGCTAGGTGGAAATGCGAATGTCAGCATAGCTAGAGCTGTTTTAAAAGAACAGAGTTGGCCGTACACCACCCACTTTCCACATGTTAGTCTACAAAGCACCCCAGAGTGAGAACACAAACACAGATCAGTGGGTTAGGGATGAGAAAATAGACCCAGACGCATATGGCCAATTGATTTCAGACAATGCAACTCAATGGGAAAAGGAGAGATTTCAAAACTGCTGTGTACCTGGATATCTTACACCACATGCAGAAACTTATGAAATGGATCAGAAGTTTAAATGCAAAAGTGAAAACGGGAAGCTTTTAGAAGGAAGAGATCAGATAACCCTGAGAGCTTGGGATAGGCACATATTTCGTAGATTGGATGTAATACATAAGAACCATAAAAGAATAAAATTGAAAGAATCAAAAAACTAACAGCTTTTGCTTTCAAAACACATGTTAAACAAATGACAAAACGGGCCACAGACTGAAGAGAAATATGTGAAAACATGTGTCTCATAAAGGAGCTGCATCCAGATTCTACATAAAGAGCCCTTACAACTCAATGACGGAGAAATACCCAGTTTTCAAAATGGGCAGAAGATTTGGACAGACGGTGCACAATGGCTGATAAGTCATGAAAAGATGCTCGCTGTCACCAGAAAACAGGGAAATGCAGATAAACCATGACACCCAACACGCCCGCCAGGACGGCTGAAGTACAAGTCTAAGGACGGCCAGTGCCGGGGAGGCGTGGACGAGGACCCGCATGCACGGCCGGGGAAACAGGACATGACCCCTGCCTCAGAACAGGGTAGGGGCTTTGGAGGCTTTTCAGTTTTTTTTTTTTTTTTTTAAGTTAAACACACACACAGCGCACAGCCCAGCAATTCCACTCCAAGGTCATTCATCCAAGAGAGACGCAAACACCTGTCCACACGAGGTTCTCAGCAGCTTCATTCATGAGAAGCACACGCAGAAACAGCTCGAGTGGTCCCCAGTGCTGAAGTGACAATCAGGCTGTGGTCCATCCACGCAACGGGATCCTACTCGGTAGGGAGAGGGAAGCGCAGGCTGCACAGCACCTCAAACAGGTCCTAGGAGTGGGAGTGGCTGCCTGGGGCGAGGGGCACGGGGCCCTGGGGGCAGGAAGTGCTCTGCTCCTCCGCCTGTTGACACGTGAGTGTGACGACCCCTATAGGCACCATTCGCTGTATGTAAACTAGCCCCCCACAAACTGGA